TCATCCTCTGCAGCCTTCACAAGCTTGAATTCTGCTGGCAGGGGAGTTGCAACTTTGCGCTCATTCTCAATCCCATACTTCTCCCCCAGCTCCTTGATGAACTTCTCCTGGTGCAGCTTCAACCACCTGTGATCCAGATCCCTCTCCACATGCATCCCGAGGTAGTACTTTACCTCCCCAAGGGTCTTGCACTTGAATTTCTTCATCAGCTGCTGCTGCACTTTCTGGATCTCCTTCATGCTGCTGCTGAAGAGAAGAATGTCGTCCACGTAGACCAGAAACAGCACCAGCTTCTCCCCCTCCCCCTTGAGAAAGAGGCTCTCATCACAGCTGCTGGTCCTGAATCCCATCTCCTCTAAAACAGCTGCCAACTTCTGGTACCAGCAGCGTGGCGCCTGCTTCAAGCCGTAGATGGACTTTTTCAGCTTGCACACCCTGCCCGTACCATCCCAATACCCAGGCGGCTGCATCATGTAGACATCCTCCTCTAAAATCCCATTGAGGAATGCCGTTGATATATCCATCTGAATTATGAATTTCCCACTAACGGCTGCATCTGCCAACAAGACACGGAAGGTAGGGGGTTTGGCAGTGGGAGCAAAGATCTCATTGAAGTCCTGCTTCTCCTTCTGCATAAACCCCTTAGCCACCAGCCTACTCTTGTAAATGGTGACCTGTCCCTTGTCATCGGTCTTGATCCTTAACACCCACTTGCACTGTACGGCTTTCTTCCCCTCAGCCAGCACCACCAGATCCCATGTCCCATTCTCTAGCAAGCTTTGGTACTCAGCATCCTTAGAAACCAGCCACTTCTCCCTATCTGGTCCAGCTACTGCCTCCTCCATGCTTGCTGGTTCCTCTGGTGCAGGGGCATGAAAACAGTAGGCAGGTTTATCCTCCTCATCCGGGTCATAGCCATGCGGTAGAATCAGCAATGCCTCCTCATTCCCAAGCTGCTGCTCTACTACATCAGCTCCTGCAGTCAGCTTCATAGTGGCCATACGGGTGCGTACTGGCCTGGAGACGGGTGTCTCCCATCCCCTCATAACAATACCCTTCGGCTTCCTCCTTGATGGTAGCGCAGGAACCTTAGTTTTTCCCTGCTGCTGTTCTCCTCCCTCAGATCCAGCAGCTTCCTTGGTGCTACCACTAGTCTCCACATCATCTCCTCCACCAGTAGGTGCCTCCTGCATCTTCTCTCCATCACCACCCTCTGCAGCTGCCTCCTCTCCCTCCTCCCACACACTAGGAGTCAGGTCCAGCTGCATGGTGATCTGCTCCATCTGCTGGGACACCTTAGCCTCCGGCTGTTTCTTCCAGCCCCCATACATCATGCCCTCAACAAACTTCACATCCCTACTGTCAAACAACACACCTTTGCGTGGTTCCCACAGCAACCATCCCTTGCTCTCAGCAGCCAGCCCCAAATGCACACACCAGATTGCACTCGCCCCCAACTTACTTCGATACTTCTTGGGGACGTGGACGACTGCCATGCAACCGAACACCCTCAGCATGTCCACCGGCGGCTTCCTCCCAAGCCACCTCTCCAGCGGCACCCACGATTCATTACCAACCTTAGTGAGCACCCTGTTCCTAGCCACGGTAGCGTGCCGGACAGCATGGGGCCACATGGAATTGCCCACCCCTGATTCTATGAGCAGCGCCCTAGCTGTCTCCAGAATGGTCCGGTTCGCCCGTTCTGCTACACCGTTGGACTGCGGGGTGTAAGCCGTGGTCAGCTCCCTCTGAATGCCCTGCTTCTTGAGCCAGGCTGTCATCTCAGCTCCAAGGAACTCACCACCCCGGTCTGTCCTAATCCGCTTCACCACACACTCTGCTTGCTTCTCCACGAATGGCAGCCAATCTTCCTGTATCGTAGAGGCGGCGTGGTCCTTTTGCTTCAGCGGATATGCCCACATGAGTCTGCTCCAATCATCCACAATGGTTAGGAAATACCGCTCCCCCTTGTGCCCTTGCACCGGCAGCCGCCCTACCAAGTCCATGTGAACCAGCTCCAAAGGCTTCTTGCTCCTGCCAGTCACGCTATGAAAGGGGAAACGAGTGAATTTTGAGAGCAAACAGATTTCACAGTTGTTATCGGGTGGCTGTCCGTTCAGCTTCAAACCCTTGACAACTCCATCCTTCTCTAGCTGCTTCAACAAGGGCATTGCCACATGCCCCAAGCGTCGGTGTGCCGTTGCCCAATCTGTCTCCCGAGATCTGGCCGACACTTTCACACCAACCCCTCCAACGGCGTTGCACTCCCCCTGGGATGCAGACCCCTCTCCAGCCTGCCCCCCACCGTGCCACGCCAACGCCGGCAGCTGCCACATGGATCTGTACACATCCTTGCTCTCGTGCAGATCCCAAAGCGCCCGATTTCCCAGCAGCCCCTTGTACGTGCGTGCCCCATCCGTGCTAGTGCTCACCCCAGCCTTGGCAAGCTTACGGAGGGAGATGAGGTTGGCCTTGAGATCAGGAACGAGGAGAACGTCGTGCAGCACCACCGGCTTGCCATCCGCTCCCTTGAATGCAGCTCGTTCCACACCAGCCACCTTCAGCGTGTGTCCAGAGGCAGAGCACACCTCATTGATCGGTGCAGCTAGTACGTCGTCAAGCAGCTCCTTGCGCGGCGTCATCGTCCAAGCAGCGTCCGTGTCCAACACCCAATAGTCCAGGGGATGCAGCTCTGCTCCAACCTTTGCAGAGGCGTCTCCTTGCTCCCCCTGCTCTCCAATATGGAAGAACTGGCCCGCGGTGCGCTCCTTCTTCTTCTCTGCACCACCGTTGCTCTTCGGGTTGTTGTCGGACGAATCGGCGACCATGTTCGCGCCGTTTTTCTGGTTCCTCCGCGCGCCGCCATCCTGGTGACGATTCTGGGGGGTCCATACATCGGGTTTCTTATAGCACAAAAACCAGGGGTGCCCCTCCTTCTCACAATACCAGCAACTCCCTTTCATTTTGCCACCAGCACCCGACTTGCCCCCACGTCCAGATTTCGCACCGCGATCCCAACCGGTACCTCCTTGTTGGTCGTTGGAGTCATCGTCCTTCTTTGCACCGCGTCCAGCACCACTGCCACGTCGGCTCCCTTGCATCCCGTAGCCGCTGCTGCCGTCGTCTCCATCCCTCAGTTGGCGGCGATGGAAGTCGTCCTCCAGAATATTCGTCCGCACCCACTCGAGCGTCCACAAGCTCTGGTTCTGTGGCAGGCTCAATCCGCTCGTGAATTGAAGCCATGATTCCGGCAGCAGCGAGAGCATCTTCAAGCACTTGGTCTGCTCCGGGTAGGTGATTCCCGCGGTCGCCAACTTCGCGTAGAGGTCGCGCATTTTGTCCAAAACAGGTTGCACCGGCTCTCCCTTGCTCAAGCGCAATGCGGACAGCTCCCTCTCCAGCATCAACGTTGCGACAACGGAGGTCGGGGCGTGCAGCTCCTTCAACACGGTCCACGCCTTCGGACCGCAATCAACCTCCGGCAGCAGGTGCATGACGTGGTGACGCTGGTTCAGCTCCAAACTCTGCGACATTAGGTAGTAGCCAGCCGATGCGCGCTCGTCCCAATCTTCCTGCAGCGCGGGGTCACTCGGTCTAGGCTCCTCCCCAATCATTAGTTTCAGCAAACCAATCTGACGGAAGTAAAGTTGCATTTTCCAGACCCAATCATCATAGCCCTCACCATTGAACTTCTCGATGGTGAAGTTTTTCAGCACCTCCTTGATCAGCGAGCCCTGGTTTGTTCGCACTCCCCTTGGCGCCGAAACACCAGAATCCTGGCTGCCGCTACGATCTTGGGCTGAAGATTCACCAGCTCCCGCCGAGGTATTTCCCGCCAGAGCTACCTATAACGAGGATCACTATAACGCAGCTCTGATACCATCTTGTTAGTGTAATAAACTCAGGTTATTAAAACGTTATCCAACTTAGAACCTCTCCTCGGGGTCACCTCCAAGGGTCCCTGGGTGCTTGGTACAAGACCAGCCCCTATCCTCGGGTCCGAGTTTGTAGAGAGAGGGATCAAGAGGGACTTAGTCAAAACAGCAAGAGTGCCTTGAACGTCGCGCAGCGTGCCGTGCAGACCGTCGATCAGATTAAGCTGAGAACTCTTTATATCGAAGCTCACTCTAAGAGCTTTCAAAAGAGCCAAGTTGCCTCGCGAAAAGTTCTGCCATTGCAGCGTTGGACAGCGTTACAAATTGGACAGCGTTGACCTAGCGTCGTAGTGCTAGCGTACTAGCGTTGACTCGGTAGCCTTCTGCCGTCGCACCGCGTAGAAATGAAATTCCAGCAAGGAAGGAATTCGCTTGAATCAATTTGAATATATTCAGGTACAAACAGAGAAGGAATATATAGTTCTAGCTAGCAAGGACCTTGGGAATCAACCTGGGAACAACCAGGGATGATCCCAAATAATTCCAAGCAACAGAACCAACCTGGCTGGACAAAACAGCAGGTGGTAGGTTGGTAAACAACCTCTGGTTCTGTTTTTCCAACCTTGGAAAACAACAACCAGGTTCAGGTCCTAAAAACAGAACCTGTTTTATCTTTGCCCAACCAGCCAAATGCTGGTTCCGCTGGTTTCCCCTGACCCTGTAGCATGCAGATACAGACAAACAACATCCAAACTTCACCTAAATTGTACCCCTATAGTGCCTGCCCTGCTACACTATAGTCAACCAAACAAAACAGTACAATTTCGAGTTTGGATAGAACTGAATCTGCGCAATCAATTCAACCGAACTGCAAAGCTTCCATCTTGGGTTCCTTTGCGAGCTCGTCCTTTCTGCTTGCACTTTTCATAGCGCATACAATGTTGTGCCGAAGTGCACATTGCGCGAGTACCTGCAAATGCATCAAGCGAAAATTGCGAAAGCAAACAAACACACGAACATTCCATTCACACCCAAATGCAGTCGCACATGGATACTCGTACAAACAGACGGCAGGATGTCGTGCAATGTGAATTTGCACCCAACATGAACCAGCGTCACCACGTGATGCACCTGCTGCCGGAGGTTGATTGCGGTCCGAAGGCGTGGACCGTGTTGAAGGAGCTGCATGCCCCGACCTCCGTTGTCGCATTGTTGATGCTGGAGAGGGAGCTGTCCGCGTTGCGCTTGAGCGAGGGAGAGCCAGTGCAACCTGTTTTGGATAAAATGCGCGACCTCTACGCGAAGTTGGCGACCGCAGGAATCACCCACCCGGAGCAGACCAAGTGCTTGAAGATGCTCTCACTGCTGCCAGAATCGTGGCTTCAATTCACGAGCGAATTGAGCCTGCCGCAGAACCAGAGCTTGTGGACGCTCGAGTGGGTGCGGACGAAGATTCTGGAGGACGACTTCCATCGCCGCCAACTGAGGGGTGGAGACGACGGCAGCAGTGGTTACGGGATGCAAGGGAGAAAACGTGGCAGAGGACGTGGCTTTGGTGGTGCTGGACGCGGTTCAAAGAAGGACGACGACTCCAACGACCAACAAGGAGGTACCGGTTGGGGTCGCGGTGCGAAATCTGGACGTGGGGGCAAGTCGGGTGCTGGTGGCAAAATAAAAGGGAGTTGCTGGTATTGTGAGAAGGAGGGGCACCCCTGGTTTTTGTGCTATAAGAAACCCGATGGATGGACCCCCCAGAATCGTCACCAGGATGGCGGCGCGCGGAGGAACCAGAAAAACGGCACGAACATGGTCGCCGATTCGTCCGACAACAACCCGAAGAGCAACGGCGGTGCAGAGAAGAAGAAGGAGCGCACCGCGGGCCAGTTCTTCCATATTGGAGAGCAGGGGGAGCAAGGAGACGCCTCTGCAAAGGTTGGAGCAGAGCTGCATCCCCTGGACTATTGGGTGTTGGACACGGACGCTGCTTGGACGATGACGCCGCGCAAGGAGCTGCTTGATGACGTACGAGCTGCACCGATCAATGAGGTGTGCTCTGCCTCTGGACACGCGCTGAAGGTGGCTGGTGTGGGACGAGCTGCGTTCAAGGGAGCGGATGGCAAGCCGGTGGTGCTGCACGACGTTCTCCTCGTTCCTGATCTCAAGGCCAACCTCATCTCCCTCCGTAAGCTTGCCAAGGCTGGGGTGAGCACTAGCACGGATGGGGCACGCACTTACAAGGGGCAGCTGGGAAATCGGGTGCTTTGGGATCTGCACGAGAGAGGATGTGTACAGATCCATGTGGCAGCTGCCGGCGTTGGCGTGGCACGGTGGGGTCTGCATCCCAGGGGGAGTGCAACGCTGTTGGAGGGGTTGGTATGAAAGTGTCTGTTGGGTGCAAATTCACATTGCACGACATCCTGCCGTCTGTTTGTACGAGTATGTGTGTGCGAATGCATTTGGGTGTGAATGGAATATTTGTGTGTTTGCTTGCTTTCGCAATTTTCGCTTGATGTATTTGCAGGTACTCGCGCAATGTGCGCTTCGGCACAACATTGTACGCGCTATGAACAGTACAAGCAGAAAGGACGAGCTCGCAAAGGAACCCAAGATGGAAGCTTTGAAGCTCGGTTGAATTGAATGCGCAGATTCAGTTATATCCAACTCGAAATTGTACTGTTTTGTTTGGTTGACTATAGTGTAGCAGGGCAGGCACTATAGGGGTATAATTTAGGTGAAGGTTGGATGTTGTTTGTCTGTATCTGCATGCTACAGGGCCAGGGGAAACCAGCGGAACCAGCATTTGGCTGGTTGGGCAAAGACAAAACAGGTTCTGTTTTTAGGACCTGAACCTGGTTGTTGTTTTCCCAGGTTGGAAAAACAGAACCAGAGGTTGTTTACCAACCTACCACCTGCTGTTTTGTCCAGCCAGGTTGGTTCTGTTGCTTGGAATTATTTGGGATCATCCCTGGTTGTTCCCGGGTTGATTCTCAAGGTCCTTGCTAGCTAGAACTATATATTCCTTCTCTGTTTGTACCTGAATATAGTTAATTTGATTCAAGCGAATTCCTTCCTTCCTGGAATTTCGTTTCTACGCGGTGCGACGGCGGAATGCTACCGAGTCAATGCTAGACAAACGCTGTCCGAGCCATAACTCTGCAATGGCAAAACTTTTCGCGAGGCAACTTGGCTCTTTTGAAAGCTCTTAGAGTGAGCTTCGATATAGCGAGTTCTCAGCTTAATCCGATCAACGGTCTGCACGGCACGCTGCGCGACGTTCAAGGTACTCTTGCTGTTTTGACTAAGTCCCTCTTGATCCCTCTCTCTACAAACTCGGACCCGAGGATAGGGGCTGGTCTTGTACCAAGCACCCAGGGACCCTTGGAGGTGACCCCGAGGAGAGGTTTTAAGTTGGATAACGTCTTAATAGCCTGAGTTTATTAGGCCCTTTACACCAACAGTGTCGGCCAGAACTGGGGAGACGGATTGGGCAACGGCACACCGACGCTTGGGGCATGTGGCAATGCCCTTGTTGAAGCAGCTAGAGAAGGATGGAGCCGTCAAGGGTTTGAAGCTGAACGGACAGCCACCCGATGACAACAGTGAAATCTGTTTGCTCTCAAAATTCACTCGTTTCCCCTTTCATAGCGTGACTGGCAGGAGCAAGAAGCCTTTGGAGCTGGTTCACATGGACTTGGTGGGGCCGCTGCTGGTGCAAGGGCACAAGGGGGAGCGGTATTTCCTAACTATTGTGGATGATTGGAGCAGACTCATGTGGGCATATCCGCTGAAGCATTGGCTAGAGGACCACGCCGCCTCTACGATACAGGAAGATTGGCTGCCATTCGTGGAGAAGCAAGCAAAGTGTGTGGTGAAACGGATTAGGACAGATCGGGGTGGTGAGTTCCTTGGAGCTGAGATGACGGCCTGGCTCAAGAAGCAGGGCATTAAGAGGGAGCTGACCACGGCTTACAACCTGCAGTCCAACGGTGGAGCAGAACGGGCGAACCGGACCATTCTGGAGACAGCTAGGGCGCTGCTCATAGAATCAGGGGTGGGCAATTCCATGTGGCCCCATGCTGTCCGGCACGCTACCGTGGCTAGGAACAGGGTGCTCACTAAGGTTGGTAATGAATCGTGGGTGCCGCTGGAGAGGTGGCTTGGGAGGAAGCCCGAAGTGTTGTACATCTAAACACGCAGCATGTTGGTCATGAACTAGGTTAAATAATCAGCGAATATAGAAAAAGGCAAATACTAGCATAAGGACAGTTTTTTGCAATTACAGTCACACATGCAAACCAAGCAGAATCTAGTACTTGGTCCAGCGACCCTTGGCCTTGAGCACAGCCCGCACACGCCTAGGCATGCTGTCGATCAGCTCACTGCACCAAGCCACAGGGATTTTCTCCCATTCCACTTGTACTCTGTCCCATAGCTCGAGAATGCCTGCAGGGGGGCGGGGGTAAGCAAGCAGCTGCTTCTTCAAGTAAACCCACAGATGTTCTATGGGGTTGAGGTCCGGACTAGATGCTGGCCATGGGAGCACAGAGTACGGCTGCTCGGCAAGGTAAGTTTTGACCATCTTGCATGTATGCTTCGGGTCATTGTCATGCTGGAACACAACGGTCTCGGGATCCAACTCATAATGCTCAATAGTCTGCTGCAGCTCGTCTTGCAGGATTGAACGGTACAACTCGCCGTTCATTCTTCCCTCTATCTTGCACATGAAACCCGCGCCGTTGTATATCATGCACCCCCAAATCATGATGGAGCCGCCGCCATGTTTGACGGTCTGTTTCACATGGTGCGGCTCCATGTGACAGTCCTCCAGGCCCAACTACGGCCGTCGCTACTAAACCGGCAGATCTTTGTTTCGTCGCTCCAAACCACGTATTTCCAGTCGTCGATCGTCCAGTGCTGATGGTCCTTGGCCCACTGCCTGCGGTCCTTGACATTTTTCGCGGACGTACCCGTATGGCCACTATGAAGCTGACTGCAGGAGCTGATGTAGCAGAGCAGCAGCTTGGGAATAAGGAGGCATTGCTGATTCTACCGCATGGCTTTGACCCGGATAAGGAGGATGAACCTGCCTACTGTTTTCTTGCCCCTGCACCAGAGGAACCAGCAAGCATGGAGGAGGCATTAGCTGGACCAGATAGGGAGAAGTGGCTGGTTTCTAGGGATGCTGAGTACCAAAGCTTGCTAAAGAATGGGACATGGGATCTGGTGGTGCTCCTTGAGGGGAAGAAAGCCGTACAGTGCAAGTGGGTGCTAAGGATCAAGACCGATGACAAGGAAGAGGTCACCATTTACAAGAGTAGGCTGGTGGCTAAGGGGTTTATGCAGAAGGAGAAGCAGGACTTCAACGAGATCTTTGCTCCCATTGCCAAACCCCCTACCCTCCGTGTCTTGTTGGCAGATGCAGCTGTTAGTGGGAAATTCATAATTCAGATGGATATATCAACGGCATTCCTCAATGGGATTTTAGAGGAGGATGTCTACATGACGCAGCCGCCTGGGTATGAGGATGGTACGGGCAGGGTGTGCAAGCTGAAAAAGTCCATCTACGGCTTGAAGCAGGCGCCACGCTGCTGGTACCAGAAGTTGGCAGCTGTTTTAGAGGAGATGGGATTCAGGACCAGCAGCTGTGATGAGAGCCTCTTTCTCAAGGGGGAAGGGAAGAAGCTGGTGCTGTTTCTGGTCTACGTGGACGACATTCTTCTCTTCAGCAGCAGCATGAAGGAGATCCAAAAAGTGCAGCAGCAGCTGATGAAGAACTTCAAGTGCAAGACCCTTGGGGAGGTAAAGTACTACCTCGGGATGCACGTGGAGAGGGATCTGGATCACAGGTGGTTGAAGCTGCACCAGGAGAAGTTCATCAAGGAGCTGGGGGAGAAGTATGGGATTGAGAATGAGCGCAAGGTTGCAACTCCCCTACCAGCAGAATTCAAGCTTGTGAAAGCTGCAGAGGATGAAGGGGTTGAAGCCGAGGAGCAGCAGCAATTTCAGTCCTTGGTGGGCAGCCTTTTGTACGCAGCAGTTCACACAAGGCCCGAAATCTCTTTCTCGGTTAGGCAGGTGGATGCAACAGAGCGTGTGGTGAAGTACCTGAACTCTCGCCCAAGCATTGGAGTACAATACTCCGCATCTGCACAGGTGAAGCAGAAAGGGGTTGAGGTGCTGAAAGAGAAGGGGGAGCGGCTTGGAGAAGGCAAGCTGTTTCTCACTTGCTTTACCGATGCTACTGTTAGTGTAATAAATTCAGGCTATTAAGACATTATCCAACTTAAAACCTCTCCTCGGGGTCACCTCCAAGGGTCCCTGGGTGCTTGGTACAAGACCAGCCCCTATCCTCGGGTCCGAGTTTGTAGAGAGAGGGATCAAGAGGGACTTAGTCAAAACAGCAAGAGTACCTTGAACGTCACGCAGCGTGCAGTGCAGACCGTCGATCAGATTTCGCTATATCGAAGCTCATTGTAAGAGCTTTCAAAAGAGCCAAGTTGCCTCGCGAAAAGTTCTGCCATTGCAGAGTTACGAATTGGACAGCGTTGGCCTAGCCTCGTAGTGCTAGCGTACTAGTGTTGACTTGGTGACGCTGGTTCAGCTCCAAACTCTGCGACATCAAGTAGTAGCCAGCCGAGGCGCTCTCGTCCCAATCTTCCTGTAGCGCAGGGTCACTCGGTCTAGGCTCATCCCCAATCATTATTTCAGCAAACCAATCTGACGGAAGTAAAGTTGCATTTTCCAGGCCCAATCATCATAGCCCTCACCATTGAACTTCTCGACGGTGAAGTTTTTCAGCACTTCCTTGATCAGCGAGCCCTGGTTTGTTCGCGCTCCCCTTGGCGCCGAAACACCAGAATCCTGGCTGCCGCGACGATCGTGGGCTTCTGAGAAGGACGATTCCTCATCTGTGGGAGGATACATCTGCGTAGTTGGGGGAAGACCTGTTAGTTGGAGGTCCAAAAAGCAGACGGAGACGGCGCTCTCTTCCGTGGAATCAGAGTACATGGCTATGTTCCATGGGGTGAAGGAGGTGATTTGGCTGAGGAGGCTGTTAGAGGAGATTGGCCAGGAGCAGAAAGTTGCTACGCCGCTGTTTTGTGATAGCAAGGGGGCTCTTGGGATGGCAAGGAACACTGTGCTTCATGGGCTGAACAAGCACATGCATATCAAGTGGCACTGGCTGCGTAAGGAGGTGAAGAGGGGGACTGTGAATCCAATCTATATATCAAGACTCACCAGCAGCCAGCAGACTTCCTCACCAAGAGGCTTGCGGATGAGCCTCATTGGCGTTGTGTGCGCATGAGTCGAATGAGCATGAACTAGCATGGAATGATGTGAAATGCAGCCGGCAGGCTGAGGGGGAGTGTGTTGGGTGC